TGAGGGCGGTGCCACCCCCAGAGTTGTTTGGCCATACATGGATGCTTTTGGCTGTCACAGTGACTGGGAGGAGCTACTGCATTTAGGAACCAGGGGCCAGGAGGGCAAAATGTCCTGCAATGCGTGTGGCAACTCTGCATGTTCAAGAACCATCCCACCCACGATGGCAGGGGGCCCAACGAGAAACAGTGGGTTGGGGGTTTTTCCCACAACGTGGCCTCTGCGGCACATGTTTGCTGCAGGCCGGGAGGCTCGGAGCCCACCTTGGGGCTTTAACAGCGCCCTGGCTGAGCGCTCACATCTCGAGAGGGAAAACAACCACGAGGCCTCTGGTCAGGCTCAAATTTCCCATTTCTGGTAGAACTTCTCCCTCGCTGGGTTTGCTTTGGGTTTCTTCTCCATGCTGTTAAGATTCCTCAGGGTGTATAATTATTACCTCATTCTAGGTTCAGGACTAAATTGGCTGAGCACGAGAATTATGGTTATGCAATTTCCAGCAAACGTGTATTTTCTCTATTTTGCAAGCGGAGGCTCTCTCCCCCTTCTCTGGACACCAGCTGATGCAGGGCAGGGTCATCCTGCTCTGGTCAGAGTCACATGGTTTGGGGGACATTTGGCCACAGAGCTCTAACACTGACCATTCCTTTTTATTTTTTTATTTTATTATTATTATTTTTTAAAATATATCTTTATTGATTTCAGAGAGAGGAAAGGAGAGAGAGAGAGAGAGATAGAAACATCAATGATGAGAGAGTCATTGATGGAGCCCGCAACCCGGGCATGTGCCCTGACCGGGAATCGAACCCTGATCGCCTGGATCCTAGGTCGATGCTCAACCGCTGAGCCACGCCCGGCCGGGCTCCTTTTTATTATTTAAAAACACTGACATGACAGACACTAAAATTGACTTTCTGTTTGTTGTACGGCTCGATGAATGTTAACACCACTCCAGAAATCTTGCTCACGCTATCTCTGTGCAGTCACCCCTCCCCCCCATCACCAGCCCCTGGAAATTCCGGATCAGTTACCTGTCCTGACCATTTGGTCTCCCGGGATGCCATCTCCATGGAATCATAGAGTATGTCACCTTTAGAGCATGGCAGTGACTTTCGCTCAGCTAGTGGGCCCACCTCCTGCCGGTGGCTCTCTTAGACCCTTCATCCTGAAGGGAGGGCCCTGGGGAAGGGCAGGCTCTTCCTGGGCATCTCATCCCTGTCTTAGCCTCACAGATGTACATTCAAATGGCAGCCTGTCCCTGCAAGCTGTGGGGGGGCTCGCTGGAGCCCAGCCCAGGCATCCAGGGTGCTCTGTGAGATCATGCAGGAACCGAGACCACGTGGGGCCCAGGCTCGGTGCTGTGGAGCCCCTGCCCCCAGACCCCCCAGCCGGGCCTCAGGTCAGGGCTGGGCTGACGAAGCATGTGCAGGAATCGTGCTCTCGGGCCCACGCCCGGCACCTGCTGAGCTCAGGAGGGAGCGAGGGGTGTGCAGTCCCCCCGCCTGCCCACTCCCAGCTCCCGCGGTGCGGGGCAGGTCTCGGCGCTGGGAGGGGAGGGGGCACCGAGGGAGGCCCTGGCAGCCTTCGAGCCCCCTGGCCGCCAAGCTGCGTGCCAGGACGTGGGAGATGTTCTCTTCAGCAGGAGTGGCAAGAGGAGGTTTTAGTGGGAACAGTTCAGGACCCGGAGCTGTCCCCAGAACAGCAAGACCTGGGGAACCCCTGCCCAGAGAGGGGTGGCGGCAAGGTGCCCTTGGGGAGTACTTGCTGAGTGTTGGATTCATCCAAAGCTACTCTGGATCTGCCCGTATCAGCCGCGGGACCTCAGGCAAGCTGCTCATGATTCTGAAACTCCGTTTTCTCATCTGTAAAACGGACCTTTGAGAGTTGCTGTGAAGCACAGAACGGAAAAGTGTGTGTTAAACAGGCTTCGTCAGGAGCCTTCAAGTCAATGGTCAGCGCCTGGCTCCCCTCTGCCCCCTTCTGTTTCGTAGGGCTGGTCAGCTGGTCTTTTGAACTCCCTGATCACTGGGGCTTTGTGAGTGTGTGCAGTCATAGACACCCAGCACCCTCAGAAAAGTACAGTCTCAATTTTATCAGAGCCAGTGGGATGTGACTGAGTAGTTGAAAGATGGTCCTGGTTCTTTTTCCCAGTTCTGTATGTTTCTCCATTAACACCCCTATTCCCATTTGTCCCCTTTTCCAAAGATGCCTTTGAGGTTCCACTGGCAGAAGCTGGCAGAAACGAAGAGGTCACAGAGGTGTCCCCACGACAAGGGCTCTGGCTGTTCTGTCCTCATGGTTTGCCTGTCGCTCTTGTGACCTCCCTGATGCAAGGCTGCTCTGTGGGTTGCAGGTTTGATATTGTGATCAGCAGTTTCACCAGAAATATTGAGCTAGGGGGCTAATGGAAGGGGAACAGAGCATGCCGACTGGGAGGTCCCACTCCATTTGTGGGACAAACCACATTGACAAGGGACAGAATCCGTCACGCTCCACAGGAGGAAGGAGGAAAGCAGGGGGGCAAGCCTAGGAAGTGCAGTCAGGTAGAGCTGGGGTTCAACCCCAGTTTTGCACTTATTGGCTGTGTAACCTTGAGCAACTTACTTAACATCTCTGGGCGTGTTTCCTCATCTGTAGAATAGCGATAGAGATAATCTTCTCAAATGCCAATTAAAACCACAGTGAGGTGCAGGCATTCCTCACCTACAGATCGACCAAGATGCAGGAGCTGGATGACTCGCAGTCTTGGTGGTTAGATGCAGAAGTGGGCATTTTCCTACACTGCTGGTGAGAGGGGAAGTTGAGACCACCTGTAAAGAAAGTACTTTGGAAATACCTGTTGGGATGTAAAATACATGTATCCTTTAACCCAGCAATTCCAGTCCTAGAAATTTATAGATTAAGATAATACTCATACATAGCTGGAATGATTACGAAGCTATCAATTTCAGCATTTTTCCTGTATTCCAATCGGACTTTATTTATAGACATTGAACTTCGTATTAATTTTCATGTGTCTTGAAATATCCTTTTTTCAAAACCATTCAAAACGGTAAACACAATTCTTAGTCAGCATTGTTCTTAATAGCAATAAATAAATAAATAAGTAAATAAACATCATCAATTTTCATCAGTAGAAAACGCATTAGGCAAGCAATGGCTTAGTCACACAGTGGGACGTTATGTGGCTGCCCGTTATGAGGCAGAAATGCACGTGCTGATGTGAAATGACTTCCTCGTGCAGACCCTTTCAGGGCCCTCTGCTCCTGTGTCCCCCCGCAGGCCCTCTCGCTTCTCAATTTGGTGGACGGTCCCCTTGCACGCCGATCGCACCCCTTCTTAGGACCCTGCTCGCCTCTATGTTCTGCCGCAGGGATTTGTCCGTGGCTGCAGCCAGGACGGGTGGGGAGATGAACTCCCCAGGAGCTGACCTCCCGCCTGGGAAGGGATGGGGGTCAGTCCCTGCTTCCCAGCATTTGCAGGAAAATGCAAATTAAACCCAGAAAGTTCCTCAGAAGCTCCCAGCAGGACTGGGTCCCAACTGCCCACAGAGAAGGTCACAGTGAGTGGCTCGTAGCAGGAGCTCACCCCAGGTTCCTTAAATGAGCAATTTGGCTATGATTTTGTTTTCAATGTATGGATTTTTATGGTTATTTTCTATTTATGGCAAGTGATACAGGTCTTTTATTGTTGATAATAATATGAAGCTTCCTTTTAAGATGTGCTTACTTCAGTTTAAACAGTTCTGGGTGAATGAAGCTGTCACAGAAGGTGGCATAGTGTAGGATTCCACTTAGATGAAATGCCCAGGACAGGCAAATCCACAGAGACAGAAGGCAGATGGGTGCTGGCCGGGGCTGGGGGAAGGGGAAAGAGCAGAGGATGGTATTGGGTGTGAGGTTTCCTTTTGGGGCGATGAAAAAATTCAGAAACTGGTGATGGTTGTACAACATCATGAACAGACTTAATGCCACTGAATTGCACACTTTAAAATGGTTCAAATGGTAAATTTTATGTTATGTGTATTTTACAACAATAAAATCAACAAAGTAGCGGGTGGGTTTAAAGATGTTAAGTCAACAACGGTAGAGCTGGAGCTTGGGACAGTGTGATGCCGGTCCCGTGAGCGATCGGCTGAGGTCGGGCGGACAGGGCACCCACCTCGGGAGGGATGCTCTGGCCCACGGTGCCCGGCCGTGCCAGCCCCGGCCTGTGCTTTCCAACTGGACTCCCTTTGATCTCCTTGCATGGTTTCGGGTTGTTGTTCCAACGTGGCAGCCCTGAGCGGGGAGCCCTCTCTGTGAAGCCCAGTCTTGAAAGTTGGCCCTGCCTCAAGCCAAATGAAGGTCAAAGAAAACAAGATTTATTTCCAGGGTGAAGCCAAAACTATGTTTGCTGTAACATCAGGCATCAAATGATGATGTGGTCCCCCCACCGTGGAAAAATACTTCCATCTAATTTCTTCTATTAATAACGGCGGTCAGCCCGTAAAAATTAATGTGTCAACTGCCTCGGAGCTGAGCTATCTCAGAGGCCTTTGATCGCTCGCATCGTGGCTGCTGGCCCTCAAAAATGTTTTCACTCCATATTTTCCCTTGATGGGTTTGCAGGAAGGTAATTAAATTATTAAAACTTTAATTGCCTTCCTGTATATAATTATCGCCTGTTAAAGGACACTTTTTATTCCCAGGCTGAAAAGCCCTATTTTTTTTCCCCCCACTTTTTCTCTCCAGAAATGACCTTGCTATGTGTGTTCTGAACCATTAATAGGTTGTGGGATTTTTTTCCTTTTCTGTCTTTAATATTGGTCAGTTTGAAATGGTGCTTTTTGACTTTGAGGATGAAGATGACTTTGCCTTCTCAGTCCATGGGCCACCCTCACCAGCCCATGTAGGGAAGGTCATGGCAGAAGGGCCACCTTCCCGGGAGAGGGCATGATGGGGGGGTGGGGGTTTCCTGGAGGCATATTTAGATCACCTCACTTAAATTCCTTCCTTTTACAGACTAGAAAGGAGCTCAGAGAGGGGGCTTGACTTGCCTTGGGTCACACAGGAGTCAAGCAACAGGAATTCAACCCAGGTCTGCTCTGGGGCAGTCAAAGGTACATTTTACCAATTAATTTTGTCCTGCGCATAAAGATCTTTGTTTATTTTGCTTGTCCTTAATGTACAGCAAAGTGCTATTCTCTCTCTTCCAACGGTCTCTTAATATTGCCCTTGCCTTCTTTGCAATCCTTTGCTAGAGGGAGCAGGCAAAAAGGGTCACAGCAGCTACGGGGTCCTAGGGCTCTTTCGAGAAACTTCTGAGCTCCTGGATGGCACCAGGAACCCAAGTCAACCTTGTCAAACCCAAAGCCTTTTATAACAGCTGTTTTACACCCCCCTTTCTTATCAAAACGGAATTCACGTAACATAACCCACCTACAAACACAATTTGAGGAACGGAGCTGTAACACTTCTATAAAGGAGAAATGAAGGGGAGGTTATTTATTTAAAATGTGTTTTATTCATTTTATTTTTTAAAAAATTTATCTTTATTGTTGAAAGTATTACAAATGTCCCCTTTCTCTCCCCATTGATCCCCTCTATCCTAACACCCCCTCCAGGCCTTCCCCACACTATTATCTGTGCCCATGGGTTATGCACATATGTATATAAGTTTATAGGTTAATCTCCCCCCCACCCCTGCCTTCCCTCTGAGATTCCTCAGTCTGTTCCATGCTTCTGTGTAAGTTTCCATGTTTTAATATGTAAGTGCTCAGGCTTGCCCACGCTAGAAGTCTTGACCATGTCGTCAAATGCTTCTACCCACTTATCATGGATGAATTTGGCTTTTAAAGAAGATTCTTCTCCATGGCCTATTGTCAGGCCCTTCTTTACATACCTGAGGTTTTGAAAGACGGACTAAGTATATTTGCTCAGAGACTCAGACTTGCCAGGGGGTGACGCCTCAGAAGGAGCTGCTCCGAGTGCTCTATGGACAGACGGCTCAGACACCTCGAGGGCTCGGCAGCTCTTCCTGCAATTGGCTGAACAATGTCTAGTAAAGTTTCAAACCAAGCAAACTGTAGTTTTCCCTTGATTTCCCTGTGGTTGCATTCAGGGTATGTTAAAATCGTTTTAAAAATGCTTTATATCTATATGCTAAAAAAAAGTCATGTTCTAGGCTCGGAAAATTATAAAATGAACTTTCATCTCTATGAATGTCAAAAGTCACCCAGGATATGGGACAGTTCTGGGTTGAACGAGGCTATCTTGCTCATTGCGTGATGCTAGTCAACCCTTGCTCACATCCCTCCCCCCATTAATGTTTTAATCAAATATATCCCTAGTTTCTAAACACCCTCTAGGCAGCAGCATTGTCTTCACAGAGAATTTCCAGTGTAATGTTACACAGTGCCAGGGATTTGGGGAGTAGAAACTAAGATAATATTTTATCTCATGATGTTATGGGTCAGGAATTGGGCAGGGTTCAGTTGGGTGGTTCTTCTGCTCCGTGTCACATCCATGGAGGTCAACTAGCAGATGGGCTTTTCTGGGGTCCAAGGTGGCTCTGCTCACATCTCTGATGCCTTGGTGGGGGTGGCGGGAGGGTGGCTCAGCTGGAGCTGTCAGCTCCTGGTGGCCTCCCCATGAAGGCCGTCTCAGAGTGGTTATATCAGCTCAGGGCTCCCAGAGTGAGTGTCCCAGAGAAAACACAGAAGCAGGAAGGCTTCTTGGATCTAGCTTTGGGCATCCCAGCATGTCATTCTGTCACATTCCCTCGGCCAACCGACGGCTGGCCTAGACTCAGGAGGAGGGAGTTAGACTGCCTCTCTGTGGGAGAGAAGCAAAGACTGCACCCCCCTCGAATTGGTCACCACCCCTCCCTATAGGCTTTTGTCTGTAGAACATGGCCGATTTTTCTCAGTATGGCCATTTAGGGGCTGGGTCACCGCTGACGAAAGGCACTGGCTAGTCCTTTATAAGAGAGTTATTTATAACAGGGTTAAAAGCCACCCACACACCGACTTTGCAAACCCAGCCCTAGTGCCTGCATTCACACTGCTGTGTTACAAGCCGGCATCATCGGCCACAGGCTTACGGAGTGGCCAGTCTAGCACCCAACGGAAGAAGTCTCATTTCATGCAGAGTGTGGCCACTGCGGGGGATCTAACCAGGTAGAGATGATTTTCCTGTGCATGCCCAAAAAATAAATACCTAGCTCATGTCACTCTGTTGAAACCCCTCACACTTTGGGTTGTCTCTCTCGGGAATCGGATGTGTCTGTGGTAGAGTACTGGCCACCCAGGAAGCCCTGCTGACTCGGGACCACCCAGGCCCTGGAATGGGGGAGCCTCGGGCAGGGGCTGGGGATGCTTGGGGCTCAGTAGATTATTTTTAAACAGCTTTATTGAGATAAAATTCACCTACCATACAGTTCACACATCTAAAATGTGCAATTCACTGGTTTTTAGTAGATTCATGGAGTTGTGCAGCCATCACCACTATTTAATTTCAGAACATTTTCATCACTCCCTAAAGAAAGCCTGTATCCATTAGCAGTTACTTTTCATTCACCGCCCCCCAGCCCCTGGCAACCACCAATCGACTTTCTATCTTTATGGATTTAGCTATTCTGGATGTGCCATTTAAGTGGAATAATACAATATGCAGCTTTTTGTAACGGGCATTTTTCACTCAGCATAATGTTTTTAAGGTCCATCCATGTTGTAGCATGTGTCAGGACTTCATCCCTTTTCACGGCTGAATAATATTCCATCGTGTGGATATGCTGAATTTGTTTATCCATTCATCAGTAGATAGACTGAGACATTTTGAGGGGTGATCCACCACTTAAGTGGGTGCTGGTGAGCAGCTTGCTATGGACCTCACATGTGGGCTGAGCTGCTGAGGCCATGACTGAGAAAGGACATCTGGTCCAATGGGTCCTTTTACATACCCTGGCCTTCCAAGCATCTGCACTGTTTCCTGAAATATTGGGGGAGAGGTATAACCAACATCCAAACCCAGTCCTTATTATTTACTGCCTGGTCTCTACTGATGAAAACTTGTGCCTATCCCCCACGCCCTTCATTTGAAATTCAAAACTAAGTGTTTGATTTTGTAGGAAGAATAACATAGATTTTGTTTGTTTTTCCCCCCATTGGTTTTTCATAAAAGTTGTTATGAGAAATGGGAGGTCATGAGTTACCTGTCTGACCTCTGTCTCTCTTACACACACACACACGCACACACGCACGCACACACCCTACCCTGTGTCCAGATCACTCATGCATGGGATATAATTATGCAGTTCTGTGTTGCTGGCAGTGGGGTCACAGGGCCAGCGGTTTTGTGTGGGGCCTCTGCATAGCCTCAGCTCACAGCAGCAAAGGCCACTCACGTCACTAATGGTATGTCACTAACGGCCTGATGTCATCCTCTGTCCCAGCAAGCAGTGTAACGTGTCCTGCCCCGAAGGCACCTTTGGAGGGTCCCTGGCCTCACACAGGGCTCCTTTTCTCCGGGAAGATAGCTTGCACTCCAGGCCAGGAGCTAGGGCTCACGCTGCGGGCATGTGGATGGAAAACATTTCACAATGGGAAATGGGCTGGACTCGGCCAGGAGGGAGGAAGTGTCCTCCGCAGGCCCTTTTGGTCTCAAGGTATTATTTCAAAGGCCCCTGTTTTGAAATTATGAGACCACCAAAAAAGCATGCCAGGGCCAAAACTGACTGTAAAAGGTAATAATTGTTAATAACTTGGCATCCGCCCTGTCATTTGAGCTGCCTGGTTTTGCAAACATAAAGGACAACATTGTAAGCAAATAGGAAGGCCACAGCCTGGCCTGTAAAACTGTTAACCACACCATAACTAAGTATTAAATGTGAGTTTTAATTCAATTTATAGTTTTAATAAGGGTCTTTGCACCAACTTAGAGGGAAGGAGAGCATTTGAGACTCATAAAGTCATAGAAACATAGTGCTCTGAGCATCTTGCTATTTTTACGATCATGGCAGCAACCTTGACCTGGGCTGTCCTGGTAGGTTAACCCTCAGTGTCTGCTGGGCGCTTCGGGGCACTTTAAATAAGCAGCCACGTGGTCGCACGTTGGGCTGGTCACTATGTCAGGTTAGCAGGCAGAGTGGTCCTCGCTGTCCCGCCTTTAGCTCCTGGGGCCGGCTGAGTGGCCTCCAGGGTCAGCTGTTCATCCCAGGTGGGCCCTCCAGGTGCCAACCAAAGCTGGGCTCCCTCTTTCCATGGGTTTTTGGCCTTGCCCTTCAATCTTCCCAGCAGACCCCACACGGTTTACTCTAGGGCAGGTTTCAAAAGTTATGGAAAGAGAGATTTTTCACTGAAGGTGTTGGCAACATGTACGTGTTGGTTTTCTCGGGGGCAGGGGTAGACCTCGGAGGGGCTGCCTGCACCCTCCCTGGTCCAACCAGCGGAGGTAAGGATTGTCAGACACGAATTTCTGTTTTAAAAAATTATAACTCGCTGCTTTTTCTCCCATAAAAACTAATGTTTAGAATTGGAAAATCTAGACAATTCAGAACCTTATCTCTAAGAAAATAAAAATCACGTGTGACCCCACACTTAGTGCTCAATTCTGTTAAATTTTTGTCTTCGGGCTTTCACTCTTTTAAAGCGCAGGTACCCCTATTTTACAATAGTCACAGCTGCCAGGCTGCCTGCTTTCTGCACGCCAGGAGGTGTGACAATTGCCTTGTGCAACCCTGGCTCCTTAATACTGGGAACGGCGTTGTGGGGTATATTTTTAGGGACCTGTTAACTGGAGCCTGGTGAGACCAGGTGGCTGTTCAGGGTCACACAGGTAGCATGTGGTGAGGCTGGGGTTTGAGCCCAGTTGTGCCTGATCCCAAAATTCATCTGGCCATCACCTCTCCTGATTCCTTAAATCCACGGCTTGTGCAAGTGGGTCTCGCACTTAATGATGGGAATGCTGTATTTACTTGTGAATTTGTCCCTGCGGCTTCATGGGACAAATGAATGAATGGATGGATGGATAGACAGATGGATGCACAGATGCACAGAAGGGTGCACAAGCGGCCTTTCTAAGCCAGAACTCGGTGGGGAGCCCTAGGGGTGGACACCCACTGCTCAGGGAGACTGACCTGGATTTTTGCTCCTCCCGGGTGACCTCCTGCCGGCTGGCCCACCACTGCCCTGAGGAGTATGAGACATCCTCCCTGGGTCCACACCCTCCCTCCCCAGGGCTCTGGGACCCCGGCAGATCCCCCAGCCTGAGGCCCTGTGTATATGTGTTTATTTTGCTAAAGGTCTCTGTCTGTCCTCTATGAAAGGACTTACCCTGGTCCTTTATGTACTATGATCAGAGAGGGTATTTGTAATTTTAGGGGATGTAGTAATGAGAATTGAAACAAAGAGGGCTTTCTGATTAACTTTCAGATCACTAGAAATCAGTTCTCTGAAGCCAGGCTGTCTGGATGTGAATCTCAACTCTGTCTTTCAATAGCTGTGTGACTTTGGGCAAGTCACTGAACCTCTCTGAGCCTCCACTTCCTCACCTGTAAAACGAAGATAAAAATTGTATCTATGTCATAAGGTTATTGCGAGGACTAAATGCAGAACACTTAGAATGACTATTATTATTAATTCCTAATATTAATGATCAGGGTTTAGTAATGAATATTTATGTTACTAACAATTGTAATGGTTAACATTGTTATTTAATGGTAATATTATTAAAAGTTGCATTACTCTCCAGCTTTTGGTGGATAATGTTTCCTTCTCAGCACTGGCTCAGAAAAAATTTTTGGTACAGAAAGATGCATCAACTTTCATTTTTTGGAATAGATCATTCAAAATAAAGAAAAAGAACCATCTAGCTGTAGGTATGATGCTTCTGAAGTTGGTTCACCTTTTCCAGACCCTGTCCCCCCACACCCGGCTGAGGCCCTCCGCCTCCACTGCGGCGTTTCGTTTCGCAGCCTTTCCCAGGCCTCGGGCTTTCATAACTCATCTCCCAGGGTTTTTGTGAAAATAGAAACCAGTGTTTTCTAACGGATGACTTTCAGAAATCTGTGACCCTCTGTCCAGAGCCAGGAATTTGCTTTCTCGTTTCTGTGCATAATATTCATGAGGAAGGTTCCAGGTGGGAATCAGTTTCCAGGCGGGGAGCTCCGGAGGGAAGGAGCCCCTGCACGCCCTGCCCTCTGGCTGCAGGGACCCGGGACCAGATGCCTGCTGAGCGGGGCTGCTCCCCCCTCAGCACACGGGGCCCTGGGGGGGGGGCTGCCTCCCACCTCCCTCCCCAGCTTTCTGCCTCTCCACCTGGTCACACACTTTTCCATGCAGGACTTCTGGTGACACGCAAGGAATTGGATCACTCTGTCGGGCACCATGGCGCCTTCCTTCCTCCTCTGCAGAGACGCCCGACAATGCTGTGTGTCCACCTGCATCGCTACCACGCTGGCCACCGCCATTCCCAGCCTGGGCCTTGTGAAGCCTCCAGTCCTGTCCCCCATCAATCAGCCAGGGAAGCTGGGTGAGGGGTTTCCAACACCAGAACGCATCACTCCCCTCTCAGAGTCTTTCCATGGCTTCCTCCTACCCTTCCAAGGGAGCCCAAACCTGCCTGATTCCCCAGTCGCTCCCCAGTATGCCCCCGCCTTGCCCGCTGGCCTCTCCAGCATGCTCTGTCCCCTCTGGGACCCGCCACACACCCGTGCCATTTGTCTGGAATTCTGCCCCCGCTCCTCTCACCGTGGACTCATTTCCTCCCTCACACTTTGGTTTCAAGGACACCTTTCCTGGCTGCCCTGTCCAGGCGATTCCTCCCTTTTCCTCTGCCTTTGCCTCCTGCTCAGTCCCTAATTGGCACTCCTCACGGGCTGCATCGTAATTTTTTAAATCCTCACCAAGGATATGTTTTTCATTGATTTTAGAGAGAGGAAGGGGGAGAGAGAAAGAAAGAGAGAGAGAGGGAGAGAAACATCAATGTGAGCGAGAAACATCGATTGGGTGCCTCCCCTATGTGCCCTGACTGGGGATCGAACCCACAACCTGGGTATGTGTCCTGACTGGGAATCAAACCTGTGACGTTTCGGTGCACAGGACAATGCTCCAACCAACTGAAGCACACTGGCCAGGGCTGCATCATAATTTTTAAAAAAATCTAATATTTGGCTCCCCCACCAGACCATGAGTCCTGCAAAGGCAGGGACTTTTGCACTTAGCCTCGCCTCAGAAAATATTTGTTGAATGAATGAATGAAAGAACATTTATGGGGGTTAACCTTTCATTTTGGGCTGATCTTTGGGTTGGATACCCACAAGAGAAAAGCTTCCCCCTCAACCACCCATCTTGGCCCTTACCTCTCGCCTGCAGCAAGTTTACCCGGATTGCAGGAGCCGGCCTGGCAGACCCCGTGGGCATCAGGCAGTACCGCTGGAAGGGTTTAGGGCACAGAGGTGGTCGCAGCTCACAGGTGTCCTGTGGCCCCTCCTGCTACACAAAGCTGCCAGTGGCCTGGGGGCGGTTCCAAAGCCCATGGTGGGGTTTTGGCTCATGCTGTGCCTCCTTCCCAGAAAGTCCCCTGGGCTTCTCAGACTCCCCCCCCCAATGCTCAGCTGAAGCCCCCCACTCCAGAACACCTCCTGCCTTCTCAAACCCTGGAGCCTCCCGCTGGTCTTAGCATTATACGTAGTAGCCCCAAAGTGGGGGCCACTCAGACCTCCGTTTACTGCAGAACAGAGAGGTAGCCTGTCTCTATCCATGCAACGGAGTAGGATTTGGCTCCTAAAAGCACTGAAGTCCTGGTGCATGTCGCAACACGCATGTCCAAAACATGATGCCGAGGGAGGAAGCCAGCCATAAAAGACCACATGCCACATGATTCCATCGATAGGAAATGTCCAGAAATGCCCATAAGGATGGAAAGTAGCTTAGTGGTTGCCAGGGGCAAGGGGAGTGGGAATGGGGAGTGACTATTAATGGTTATGGGGCTGTTTTTTCGGGTGATGAGAATATTCTGGAACTAGGTAGTGATGATGGTTACACAAAATTGTGAACATGCCAAAAACTACTGAATTACAGACTTTAAATAATTTTATGGTATGCAAATTTTATCTAAAAAAAATTAGTTTGACAAAGCCCCCCTCCCCTGCAGTTCCCCTGGTCTTTGCTGGGCACTGTGGGTTGTAAGGTTTTCGTTTTTGCTAATGAATACACCCAGAGTGTTTTCTCAAGACCTGCCATGGAGGTTAAACGTAAGACTGTAAGTCTGTGGTCCCCCGGGATGAATGAAAGCGGACAGAGCTGCTCTGGTGCAAGGGCTGTGTCTGGCCACGGGGATCCTGCCCACGGTGTCCCCACGTGGGGGAGGGCAGGAGGACAACCTGGGGATACACCAGTGTTTTGCTGGTCCCTCTAGGGGGGCCAAGTAAAGGGGTCTGCAGGCTGTTTCTGTGGTGGGGAGCAGAGCATGGGCAGGTGGGAGATCTGAGCTGAGTTACCTGTGCCTTTGATCTCTGCAGAAGAAGGTCCGTGTGACACTTTGGGCCTCCTGCAGAAGCAGCTGAAAACAGAAACAATATGGCAGGTCGCCAGCCTGGTTCAGATCTCTGCTCCACCCTTTAGGAGCTTGGAGAAATCCCTGGGTCTCAGTTTCCCCTTCTTTCAAATGAAGATAGTGATGATGGTGACAGTTCCCCATAGGGCTCTTAGAGTTGAGATGCATCAAGTCCCCTAGCAGGGCTCCTTGGTCATAGCAGGACGCCTCTTGGTTCTCACAATTTCATTGCCGTCTGGTCTCTCAGGGATCAGCACTAGAGGGGCTTACACCTGGGGTCAGGAGACCTGGGTCACTGGTGGGTTGTCCTGGAGGAGTGTGGTGGGGATAGTCAGGCTTAGAGTGGCACATCCCTCAAAGGGGCATTAGTTTATTTTTATGTTAAATTAACACATTTGAGTGGACAGTACTCTCATGGTTCAAATACCGAGCTGAGATGAATTCGTGAGAAGCTTCTCATCTGTCTCTGTGCATCAGCTGATCCCTCCACCTCCACTGGGATCGGTGTAATATCTACCAGACAAGACTGCCCGGCATGGTGCTCACGGCCAGGGAGTGAGACGGATGCTGCGTGCCCCCTGGGAATCAGGACAGAGGACAGCTCACTGGGAGGCGCCGCAGCTGGGAACATGGCATAAGACCAACACTGAACAATAATTTAAAGAAGAATCTTGGGGGATGTTGTTACATGAAGCCAGGAAGGTGCAAGACTATAGACGTATAGTATTCATATGTATGAATATACATGCACGCATGTGTACATGCACACATATATCAGTACACGCTGGCACCCAGAAAACACAGTGCTTAGGGAAGCAGAGCCTTTGAAAAACAACTCTATCAAGAACTGTTCTACGCCTCATAAAGTTCACCCATTTCAGGTGTAAAACTCAAGGATTTTTAGTAGCTTTACATGGTCTGAAGTCAGTTTTAGCATATGTTCCCCTCCCCAATAAGATTCCTCATATAAATCATCAGTAATTCCCCCAGCCCCTGGCAACCGCTCATCCATTTTCTCTCTACAGTTTTGCCTTTTCTGGACATTTCACATCAATGGAATAATAAACACGTGGCCTTTAGTGTCTGGCTTCTTTGACTCAGTATCATGTTTTCAGGGTTCATCCATGTCGTAGCCTGTGTCAGAGCTTCACTCCTTTTTATGGCTGAGTAATATTCCATTGTGTGGCCAGACTGCATTTTGTTAATCCACTCACCTGTTGATGGACACTTGGGTTGTTTCATGCAAATAGATTATTTTTTTTCTCTTTTTTATACAAAGGATGGCATTACTTTATATTTATTAGGATACTACATATGAACACACATGTGTATATGTGTGTTGCACACGTGTACTGATATATGTGTGCATGTACACATGCGTGCATGTATATTCATATGTATGTCTATAGTCTTGCACCTTGCTGGCTTCATGTAACAACATCCCCCAAGATTCTTCTTTAAATTATTGTTCAGTGTTGGTCTTATGCCATGTTCCCAGCTGCGGCGCCTCCCAGTGAGCTGTCCTCTGTCCTGATTCCCAGGGGGCACGCAGCATCCGTCTCACTCCCTGGCCGTGAGCACCATGCCGGGCAGTCTTGTCTGGTAGATATTACACCCCAAGTAGGTGGTGAGCCTTGGAGGGCAGGATCCACGACCACATCTGGCACGTGGAAGGAGTTCAGGGGCTTGTCTATCACAGAGTAAAGGGAAGATGACCCCTAACCCCAAGCCTGTCCCTGAGAGCTTTCCCTGGTTCTGGCTCCTGGCTTCTTGGGCAAGAGAAGGCGGCAGGGTCTGTCTTCCCATCGGCAGCCCCTGCCCTGCTCCCGGCCTCCCAGCCCGGTTGTGCAGCAGGCTTGGGTGGTTCCTGAGAAGGGGCTCGGGGTGGCAGGCCTCTGCGAAGCCTACTGCGCAGGGCTGCGGGTCCCACCTGTGCAGGCCAGGGTCAGTCCTGGGAGGCGCTGGAGGCTCTGTGGGGAACGGGGCAGAAACAGCCCCTCATCATGAGGACAATGACAGCCCTGTTTGCAAGCTATGAGCCTGCGGGGCTCTATTCTAAGCATTGTGCGTGAATGGGCCTGTTTCCCCTGCTCGTAGG